ACGTTATGCAGGAATCGCTCTTTCGGGTGGGTTTACGTCGCAACAATCAATTTAAGTGCCCCTCTCGGGGCTCTTTTTTTTGTAAAACAAGTAAAACACAGGAAAAGCTTGGTTTCACCAAACTGTGTTGTTGGGCCCCGAACTGGCTCCGTCCAATACTTCCTCACAGTTTCTTCTGATATCGCGCTCTCGCGCGGGACCTCCTCACAAGTCATGTAGGAATCGCTCTTTCGCGTGGGATTTCGTCGCAATTCATTCAGACGCCGCGCCCTGGACACTCAGGACTCACGCTCTCGCCTTGGCCTTTCTGACGATTTATTTGGGAACTGCGCTATCGCTCGAGCTCTCCTCGGCATTCATGCAGTACTCACGCATCAGCGGCACGCCCTCTTGACCTGGCCGCTTGGGCCCGCCTTCTCGACCCGCCCGTGCGGGTCTATCCGCCCGATGGGCCCGTCTGGTTTTGCCACGCGCTTTCTGCTCCTAGCCCCCCCTCCTGCAAATCCCGTACTCCATCCTTGTCCCTCGCCGTTCCAATGTCCTCTCTTTCCCTGGTTCAGGTGCTGCACAACTTTTACGCGGCAGCTCAGGAAGATCTACCCCCAGGGGCGTACGATCGAAGAGGAAGGGTGCGGGTACCGAGGGTTTGGGATGTACGTGTTGAGTGGCACGCGAGCAGGTAAGAGCCGGCAGTCTTAAACTGCTTGTAGTTGTTGTTGATGTTGTTATTCAGTTTCATAGTTCTGTTTTCATTTATGAATTGAGTCATGAATGTATGCATCCATGCATGCATGTATGTATGTACGTACGGACGTACGTATGTATGTCTCTTTTTTTATATGTAACCATGCACGTATGAGTTTATGTTAATTGCCATGCAGCCGTTGTAGCTAGTCACAATAACTATCATCATTTGTTCTTATTATTATTAGTCGTACCATCATTTAGACTATTTTTTATTGTCATGCTGATGATTGCTCTTGCAGTTCTTATTGCTACTACTACTACTACTACTACTACTACTACTACTACTACTACTACTACTACTACTACTACTACTACTGCTGCTGCTGCTGCTGCTGCTACTACTACTACTACTACTACTACTACTACTACTACTACTATTCGTTTTTACTATACTGATTCTAATTCTATCCTCATTCGTATTATTTTTCGTATTACTAGTACTCTTATTGTTGTTGTTTCGTGATTGTCGGCCTCTGGGGCCCGCTTACGTACCCCGGGAGCATCAAAACCGGATCTGGGTCGAAAGAGTCCAACAAGGGGGACCCTGGGAGGGGTCCGAGGAGCGTTCCCGAGGGGATTTGTGCCCTCATGGCCGCCTCTTGCCAGCTCGTCTCGGGGCCCAGCCAGCTCAGGCCCCCCCCCCGGGCCGCCCCCACGCCTCCCTCCCCCCCTCGGGGCCCGGGGCGCGCGCCGCCGCGGCGCACCCATGCGGCCCCTGGCGGACGACGAGACGCGACTGGTGTTCGAGAAGCTGAAGAAGTGCGCCTCCCTCCTGCTTGGCGCGAGGAGAGGTTCGGTTCGAAGAAGAAAGCACGCGATAAACATATCAACTTTTGGCGAGGCGCCTACCTTTTACGTTTATGGCGTGTTTTTTTGTTCGATCGGTGGCAAATCATGGGGGCCTTCTGCCTCCTCGTAGTTTCATCCTACCAGTCGAGGCTGATCAGTAGGTCGACCCTGCCAAGGGTGCCCTCGAGTCCTGAGTTTCCCCAGCTCAGCGGCCGCCCTCCACCTCCTCCCCTCTTGCAGCCGGACAATTAATTCGCCCGCTCCCGGGCCAACTGGAGCGCGCGTGCGGATCGCCTCTGCCGCGCCGCGGCGGAAACAAATCCCTGAGTTTCGCGACCCATGCCTTCTGCATTCCCATGATGATGTGGCCCTCGGAAGGGTCTTGTGTCCTCTCGCGTGTCAACTCCAATCAACCCCGACGGTAGAGTGAATTTCATGCGCGCTGGCATCTGGTGGCCGATGCGAGCGTGCCGAGTTAGCGTCGATTAGCGTCGAGTAGCGTCGATTTAGCGTCGACTTAGCCTCGATTTAGCGTCGGTTCGCAGGAGCCAACAAGATGGCGTGGTATGCCCCCATGAGTTGCCGCGAGCGCCGACCCTCCTCGCGAGGCGCGCGGCCTCTGCCTCCCCCCGCTCGGCCCTCGGGCGCGGGCTCCCCCACGCTGCCTGCCCGCTCTCGCGGGCCTTCGCGTCCCCGTCTTCCGCTCTCCCCGCTCGCCTCCTTCCCCTCGCCCCCCCCTCCCCTCCTGGGGTTCTTGGGTTTCGATGGTTCTGCTATGGCAAGCGTGACGCTCCCACACCAAAAAACCAATTGACGTCCTGGGGTCTCAGGGTTGGGTTTCTTGTGGACGGTTTCTTGTGGACTGGCCTCCACTGTAGGGCGGAGGCCGTGTTGCGCCACATCCACCCGCCCTGGCGCAAAACGTCGCCAGGGGGTTGAAAGCCTGCGATGATGTGCAGGAGGGTATCCCGCTCACGCAGAGAACAACTTTTGGGGGGCATCCTACCCCTTTTCCCCTCCTCCCGACCTCCGCATGCCTTCGGATTTCTGGAATGGTGGCTGAGGCGTTGGGGGTTGAGCCAGTGTGCAACAACAGTTCGAAATGTCAAGACATGATCCCGAAACTCCTAACCACCATTCCGTAATCCTGAGTGGTTGCTAGCAGGGTGGTGGTCCCGCGTGGACCGTTTGCAAGACCGGCCAACCACCATGTCGACGCAGGCAGACCAATAGTAACCACCATCCCACTAACCACCTAGGCGTTCATTCCTGACGCCTCCCTCCCTCCCTCTCCTCCCTCCTCTCCCTCCTGCTCCTCTCTTCCCTCTCTTGGTGTCGATGCAAAGCTGCCCGCATCCGCGGCCGCGCGCCCGAGCGCGCGCCCGCGCGCGAGCCCGCGCGCGCGCGCCCGCCCGCGCGTGCGCCCGCGCGTGCCCGCGGCGATCGCGCTTCGAGGGTGCTTCTTTGGCCTCCCCCCAGTGCAGTCCTCTTCCCCTGCCCTCCCCCCTGCTTCTTGCGCGCCCTCTCCGCCCTCCTCCCTTTCACATTTTCCCTCCCCCATCCTCCTCCTCCCCCCCTCTCCCTCTCTCTTCCCCTCTCCTTCTTGCTTACCCCTTCCCCCTTCCCTCTCCCCTTGCCTTCCCCTTCTTTCCCGCTTAGTATTCCTCCCCTCTCGCTTTTCCCTTCCCTGTCACCTCCCCCCTCTCCCTTGCCCTTTCCATCCACTTCCTCCCTCTCTCCGACTCCTGCCCCTTCCCTTTCGCCTGCGCCTTTCTCTCGTCCTCGTCTTCCTCTGTCCTCCCCTCCCCTCCCCTAGTCGTCCTCTCTTCCTCTCTCCTCCAATCCCCTCCCCTCTCCTCCCTCTTCAGCGCCAGGCGCGGAGACGGGGGGAACCAGGTGGAAGCAGAGGCGTGCTCGATCGGGGGGAGGAGGGAGGGATGCAGGAGAGGGAGCTCGGCGCTGTCGTGTGCCCTCGCCACTGTGTTTCGGCCACGCGCAGAGGGGGGTAGGGGAAGGGGGGAAGGCTTCTCAGAAGCACCCCTGCTTCTTAGAAGGCGCGGGCCTTCTCTACACATGTAAGGCCAGCGCCTTCTAAGAAGCAGCCCCCTTCTAAGAAGCCTTCCCCCCCCCCCACCCCCCCTCTGCGCGCCGCCAAGTGTTGGCTTGCTTGCGTGTCCGCCTGCCCAGACCTGCACTGCCCTGGTCGCTCATGAGGCGAGCGCGCGACTCTCGGCCAGGAAACTGTCGGAGACTCCCTGCGGCGAATCAGTGCCGCCCTGTGGTTCTCCAGGGAGCCGAGGAGGAGGACCTCCGCTCAGGGAGAGAAGGCCTCAGGGAGGTCTTCGAGGAGGCCTCCCCTGCAGTCTCTGGGAGGTCTCTGAGGCGTCCTGGAGTCGGGAAGAGCAGAGCATGCCGCTTGGAGGGCAGATGCCTCCGGGAGGACCAGGGAAGGCCTCCGAAGTCCTCCCCTGGCCTTCTGGGAGGTCCCGGCGCGCCTCCCCGAGGACCAGGGGGTGTCTCTGGAAGGCGGAAGGCCCCCCCCCCTCCTCCTCGGAGAGGTCTCCCGGGAGAGCTCCGGAAGGACCAGGGGAGGTCTCCCGGGAAGCCAACGGCGGCCTCCTGGGAGGCCTCCGGGAAGACCAGGGAGGCCTCCCGGGAGGCCTCCGGGAGGACCAGAGGAGGCCTCCTCGGAGACCCGTGGGAGAGTCAGGGGAGACCTCCCGGGAGACCTCCAGGAGGTCCTGAGGAGATCTCTCGTGGCGAAAAGCCGCCGCCCTGGTTTTGTCCATATGTTGGTCTGGGCCTCCCAGATGGGGTCGGAGTAGGTGTGGTCGGAGGATCGCGCCGCATCGGCGATACATAGGCGATGCGGCTCGATGTGGAGTCCGATTTTCTCCGCGCGGACGTCGCCGACGTTTCGCCGACGTCGCGGATGCATCGCCGATGCATCGCCGATGCATTGCCGATGCATCGGCGATACATCGGCGATGCGGGGCTCGTCCGACCCCATCTGCTCAGACCCCATCTGGGAGGCCTCTGGCTGGATCCCTGAGCCCCCTGCCCTCCCCTCTCTCCACCAGGGCTGGACCTAAACGCTGTTTTGCTGGACTTCGGCTGTGGCTTGTTTTTCGCTGTGGCAGGGAGGCACCGGAAAACGGGCATAAAGCAAGACGAACAGCAAAAAACGAACAGCGCTGAGGTCCAGCCCTGCTCTCCACCCCTTGCCCCCCTTGCCTCCCGTCGGCTCGCCTCCCCGTGCCCGTGCCGGGCCTCCCCATCGTGCTTCACTCGGCGTGCCTTCTGGTGGTGCGACGACTGCGCCGCCCTCTCCTCCCCCTCCTCTCCCTCCTCTCCTCCCCCTCCCTCCGCCCTCCCCCTCCTCTCCCTCCTCTCCTCTCCCTCCCTCCCCTCTCTCTCCCTCCTCTCCTCCCCTCCCTCCGCCCTCCCCCTCCTCCCCCTCCTCTCCTCCCCCTCCCTCCGCCCTCTCCATCCTTCCGCCCTCTCATCGCGCCCGTGCCCGGCCTCCCCGTCGGCGAGCTCTGGCCCCGGAGCCGGGAGCCGGCCCGGCTCAGGATGGCCGCCCTGGCGCGCGGCGCGTGACCCGTCTCGCCCGCGGCCGGGGGCCCTTCTCAGGCGGGGGGGGGAGAGGGAGGGAGGGAGGCAGGGAGGGAAGGAGGACGAGGAGGAGGGAGGGAGGGAGGGAGGGAGGGGGAGGGAGGGAGGGAGGGGAGGAGGAGGAGGAGGAGGGAGAGGGGGAGGAGGGAGGAGGAGGAGGGAGGAGGGAGGGAGGAGGGAGGAGGGGGAGGAGGAGGAGGAGGAGGAGGGGGAGGAGGAGGAGGAGGAGGAGGAGGAGGAGGAGGAGGAGGAGGAGGATGCAGCTGTTGAGGAGGATCATTGTGTAGCTTGATTCCTTCCCTACTCATGGGGGGGCGGTGACCCAAAGCCCCCCAAGCAGCTGATAGCTCAGCGTTGCCGTCATCTCAGTCTCGGCTTTGAGGCCCTCGTCGTCTTCTCCTGCCTGTCCTCCTCCATTTTTCCCTCCTGTTCCCAGACTCCCCCTCGTGCTCCTGCACCCCCGCCGCCTCCCTCCGCCCACCCCGCTCGCGCTCCCCCCCCTCCACAATTACACAATGTGGATACTACTCTCCTCTCTCCCCTGACTATGTCCAGAGAGTGTCCCGTCCTCTCCGCGTATTGTTTTTCCCACAGGATTTCATTATTTGTTTTTTCCTAGGTGTGTTTTTGTTTCAATCCAGTCGTTTCCGGTTCTTCCAAAATGGTGCTCCCGCTGCAGCGCCGCTCTCGTTTCCGCGCTTCGGTCATTCAGAATCGTGCTCCCGCTGCAGCGCTGGCCTCGTTCCCGCGCCTCCGGTTGTTCCAAATCGTACCGGAGTGTTCGGTCCTTCAAGTTGCGCTGTCGTTGTAGCGCTGGCTTCATTTCCCGGCTTCGGCCATTCAGAATCGTGCTCCCGCTGCAGTGGTGGCCTCATTCAGGTTTTCGGTCCTGGCCTCGTTCCCGCGCTCCAGCCCTTCTAAATCGTGCTCCCGCTGCAGCGCCTGTCTATTTCGGACTGTGCGGATGGATTGGAGGTCTACGCCATGGTAAGCGATGGGAGGGAGGGGCAGGACGTCAGATGTGACGTCAGCGCACCTGGCTTGCCCTCCTCCTCTCCCCCGTTCTCCCTGTCGCCGTCGCCGGCGAGCGAGGAGGGGAAGTGAGAAGGAGAAGGCCTGCAGAAGGCCCGAAGGTCACCCGGCCTTCCGAGAAGGTTTCTAAGCCTTACCCGAGGACGCAACAGTGACTTCTCCGGAGGCGCCAGGGCTTCGGAGAAGTCCCGCCGCCTTCTGAGAGGAGGCCCCTCTCGTTTTTTCCCCTTCGCTCGCCGCCGGCCTTGCGCCCCCCCCGCTCCCCCTGCCCCCCCCGCTCCCTGGAGGGTTTCTCCGAAGGGCATAGGCGACCCGTCCTCCTCCTCCTCCTCCTCCTCACTTTCCTCTTCTTCCTCCTCCTTCCTCTTCCTCCTCCTCCTCCTCCTTCCTCTCCTCTTCCTCCTCCTCACTTTCCTCCTCCTCCTCTTCCTCCTCCTCCTCCTCCTCACTTTCCTCCTCCTCCTCCTCCTCCTCCTCCTCCTCCTCCTCCTCGGGTCGCCTACGGGCCTGGGGGGAAGCCGTGCCCCCCTCCCCCCCTCCCCCCGCCTGCTCTCTCAGTCGCCTCCTCCCGTCGAGCACCCACGAGTGCAGGAGAGAGAGCCAGGGCGCTCGCCCCACGCTCTCGGCCCGCCGTGGGCGCTCCTCTCGGGCCAGGTAGGGCTCCTGCTTTTCCCCTCGTCCTGCGCGTCCTCCTCCTCCCCCCTCGTCCTCCTTCTTTTTCCCTCGTCCTGCGCGTCCTCCTCCTCCTCCCCCCCTTCTTTTTCCCTCGTCCTGCGCGTCCTCCTCCTCCTCCTCCTCGTCCTCCTCCTCCTCTGCTGCTCCTGCTCCCACCTCTCCTCCTCCTGAAGCCTCACCTCCCCAAAATGTTTCTCCTCCTTCTTGCCCTTCTTCTGGCCGCCTCCCTCGTGCCTCTGGGCTTGGCTCTCAGTACGTTGCTTCTGCTTGTTCTGACGAGTCTGATTCATGGTTAATTTTCGTGCTGTTATCGCTCTCGTTTCCATCACTTGCAGTTCTTATGTGTGTGATTTCATGATTATTTTTCTCTTGTTCCTGAACTCACCGGGCGCTATTTCTTTTGAGGTTCGATCCTTTGAATTTGTGTGTGTATGTGTCTCAAACAAGTCGAGGAACCACAGGCCACAGCGATGCAGAGGTAGGACACACCAGTCACTCGCTCTGGCAACCATCCTAAGTCCTCCGAGCCCGTGTATGCTGGCGGCTAAGTTGCTGCAGTTTCCCATCTGCAGCGCTTCGGGTTGGTACATTCTGCTGGCGCGTTGATGCTGGGTCAGGAGGAGGCGGGCTCGGCCCAACAGTGGCCCCTACTCCCGATCGTCGGCTGCACGACTCTGCCCCTCTGATGCTCCTCCTTCCCCTCCTGTTCCTCCCACTCTCTCTCTCTCTCTCACGCTGTCTCTGTCTCTCTTCCTTTTGTTCTCTCTCTCTCTCTCACACTCTCTTTCTGTTTTTGTTTGTTTCTTTTTTCTCCCTCTCTCTCTCTCTCTTTCCAGCTTGTTCTTCTTCTATCTATCTGTTCGGGGGTGGACAGAACCCCCACCCTGACACGTCGATGAGTGAATTCTCCGTTTTCGGTTCTCGACAGGGCGCCGCGGCCGTCATTTTGCAGGCCTGCGCCCGAGGTCGTTTTCACTGAACCACGTTTTACTAGACGGGGTTCTGTCCATCCCCGATTTATCTATCTCTCTCCCTCCCTCTCTCTCTCCGCCCCTCCCTGTCTCTCTCTCTCTCTCTCTCCCCCTCCCCCTCCCTCTCCCCCTCCCCCTCCCCTTCTCCTCCTGCTCCTGCCCCATCTCCTCCTGCTCGTGTCCCTCCTCCTGCTCCTCCCCATCGTAATGTTTTCTCCTCTTCTTCGTCCTCGTCCTCGTTTTCCTGCTCCTCCTCCTTCTGCTCCTCCTCCTCCTCCTCCTCCTCCTCCTCCTCCTCCTCCTCCTCCTCCCCCTCTTCCTCCTCCCTGCTCCTTCTTTTTCTTCTCCTCCTCCTCCTCCTCCTCCTCCTCCTTCTCCCCCTCCCCCCTGTCCCTCCTGCTCCTCCCCCTCCTGCTCCTCCCCCATTCCTTCTTCTCCTGTCTCCCCTTCCCTGTCAGAGGCAGAGGGCCATGGCGGTGACGGTCTTCGATGGCGCCTTCAGCTTCCAGCAAGACTCGCTCGCCCGGCTGGGCGACCGGGCGAACGCCAAGGAAGAAGGCGCCGCCCTCCGCCGCATCCTTCGAGGAGGAGGGATGGAGGGAGAGGGATGGATGGGCGGAGGGAGGGAGGGAGGGAGGAGGTGGAGGAGGAGGAGCAGGGGGACTACGACGGAGGAGGGAAGGAGGGGCAGAGAGATGGAGGGAGGCGGGGACGAGGACAGTATGTTGGGTCGGGCCTGGATCGGCCCCCCAAAATGCAGTCCCTCCAGGGCTATAACATTCAAGGCTCAGCTCAGCCGGGGCTGCACCTGGAGGAGGAGGAGGAGGAGGAGGAGGCGGAGGGGGATAAGGGAGGAGGAGGAGAAGTCGGAACGGGAGGGAGGGAGGGAGGGAGAGAGGGAGCGAGGGAGGGAGGGAGGGAGGGAGGATGCTGCTGATGCTGATGATGCTGATGATGATGATGATGCTGATGATGATGATGATGATGATGATGATGATGATGCTGATGATGATGATGCTGATGC